GTTTATTTGTGCATGTGTGTGTGTTCTGGTTGGGTGCGTGGGAGCTGAAATAGTCAAACACATGATGCCATGACAAACAGAAGACTCATTCTGCACTTCATATAAAATTTGGTCCGCTTTCCACTTTTAGACTCTACTCGTCAAAATTCAAACCGCGGCTCCTCAGTCAATTACCCGCTCACTTTTTCATTTATATATATTCGAAAACCTAACTTCCATGCAATATATATGACATCCTGATCGATCATCACCACTACCCAGAAAAAGTTTGAAATTATAGTGTTATCATTAATGGCGGCTCGTCATCGAGATAATTGTTTAATTTTAATGTTTATTTTCTTAATGTTCTTTAGTTTTACTCGAGAAATTTGGGCAATGAGGCCACTAAATGGGGAGCAATGGCTGAAGAAATATCTTGTGATTCAATCTCTTCCAAGAGGTACCGTTCCGTCATCTGGTAGCAGCACATGCACGTACATTCCCGGAGGAAAAGGGCGTCGACGCTGCACTTTGGCTGAAAATGAAGGAGATTTTTCCAGCCACTTCACCACTGCGACGTCGGCTTTTCCTCAAGTTATGGGTGATCATTTTGCAGTAGCATCGAATGAAAATGAATCCCAAAAGCTGCAAGAATCGAGTTCTTAATGTAATTATTCAGAAAAACTTGTACACTATTTAACACTTTTTCTTGTCACCTACCTTAAAATGTACGTGGGTGACAAATGTTCTAGTTTCTAGATATTGATATAATTCTTCCATGGTTTTATAATATATATGCACTATGATAAGTAGTGAGAGATAATTGTTGATTTTAAAACTAATTACACCACATATTATAGTGTGCCACCTAAATATGGTGTCTAAAATAAATGAAGTACCGATACTTAGGAGATCATTGTTCACGAAAATATATCTCGAATAAAACTACCGTAAGTGTACAATTCGTAAGAAATAATAAAGTGAAATCTAGAGTTCCGAATACCGTCCCAAGGGATTGATTTAGTTCAATTTCAGTATCTTGAACTTAACCGAAACAAGAAAATAACGCGTTTATGTTGTGGTGGAGGATTTGATTAAACTAATTTACGAATGTGAATATGACTCAACTAAATGAACTATAATGCAAAACAATGCTTGGAAATGAGTTGTTAAATTTAATAAATGAAAGACGCACTAGGATCATGAATCTCCATGCAATGATCTCTTTTAATTCCAATTCTACAAATTGACAACACGGTTAAAGTTTTGAATAATCAATGTTCCTATTCTATCCAACAATCTCTCTCGAGTAATGTTGAACCTACTCTCACATATGATCCGACTATATTCCTACGACGAATACAAATATATAAGAATGCATGAATTTCTGTGAACACTTAGAGATTCACGTAAGGCATAGCGATATATCGCTATCTCCTATTAGACCCTACGATAATTTGTACATTGTCAGCCTATTTTCCTTCTCTCAAATACATGAAATATGTCACCCGATTTACACAATCATTTGCATACATAATTGTGGAGAAAAATAATTGTATATAAATCATTCAATCTCAAACAACACGTTTTAATGTCAAAATTATAAAATCAGGAATTAAAAGATCACATCACATGGTTCATCGTTCTTCTAGTATAGAAATATCTAGCCTAACATGGAGAAAATAACAAAACACACAAATAATTGAAGAAACGATATCACCGAATTAATGTTCTGCTTGAAATCCCGTCAATCTTAAGTTTTTCTTCGTCTTCTTGGCTCAAAATCTCCTTCACTATGTGCTCTAGAATTGTTTTCTCTATTAGAATGCATCCCCCCTTCGTTTTTGATGGCTCTCGGCTTATATATTCATCACAAAATTCGTTTACTTAAGTGTTTGAACGGAATAAGGAAACCAGAATTTGGCCTCTAAAAAACATCCATGCGATCGTATGGTTCAACCAAAAGTGGCCCCTGCCTTCCCCGTTGGCATGTGTGCGACAGCATGGAAGTTCTACCATGCGGTCGCATGGTAGAGGTAAGCTTCCATGTGTGTCGTTTTAGTTCTCGACCTAATTTTCTTTCATTTTAACCTCTTTTTTTCTATTCTCCTTCTTCTAACATCTCTTGTACTAATCAAATTAGGACTTAGCTCGTATACATTCTCAAGTCGTGATTCGAGTCATTTTTCATTTATTTGTACTTTGGTCCCTGGACTTTTGTTTTCTTTCATTTTGGTCATTTTTCGTATATTTTCTCATTCAGTTGACCGCATCCATCAATATAGTACTACAAATAGCGCAAAATTAAGCTATATTCAAACACTATGTCAACAATAATTCATGTTTTGTGGCAAAATAAGCGTTGGAAAATGCACTTATCAATCATGTAAATTCTAGGTTTGCTTAATTAGATAGAATTGAAAGATTAAAAATAGAATAATATTCGTTTATTGTAATTTTTTAATTATGTCCATAGATATGTTGTAACTTTTTATTTGTCTATAAAATAAATTCTTATACTTTCACTCTCTTTTTAAAAAAATAAATAATTAAATTGGAGGGTAAATTTTTCATTTTACATGATTTTTACAATAAAATTGGACGGAAATTATGAGGACAAACTCTACTAAGTCCCTGTTTGACGATTATTATTTGGGAAAAAAATAATGTTTTGAATAGTGATTTTTAGGAGAATTTGTGGTAAAAAAGTAATTTTATTATATGAATGTGTGGTTGAAAATGAATATATTTAAAGAAGAGTTTTCAAATAATGGTTGTCAAACATAAGCTAATTACTGAAAGGTTGAGAACAAAATTTAAGGACAAGTTCGATACTTTGCTCAAAATTTGTAGACGAAATGCACAAAAATAAAATGAGAGAGACATTTCAACTCTAGTTCTCAACTTGATTTAAACTTTGGTTCAATCTATTTATTCCATTTCAACTCTGATTCAACCTTTTGACACATGACATTTTATTCTTTAATAAATCAAGATCCTAACCGAATTTCAAAACATCAAAATCAACGAAATTGTTAGGAAACAATGAGAGTGCCAAGTGACATTCACTCTTCTAGCATCATAGGCTCAATTTCCTCTCGAAAAGAAGTATTTGAGGCAACTCATTCCAAACACTTGCAAGTTGCCTTCTATTTAGAACTATCGATCCATACACCATGTATGGACCTTTCAGAATGTGATACACCTAAATTGTAATCCTCCACGGAATTATGTGTTGTAAATTCCTAGCTACATTCAAGTGGGCCAAACCAAAACTCCCTCTCAAATTCAAACCTTTGTCAATAGTCAAAAATTGAATAGAATCACTTAGGGGTGGCAAAAGGGTTGAGTAGCTCATCTGCTCGTCGAAGCTCTGCCCNTTTAAAAACTTGAGCTCGTGGGCTCTGCCCGTAAGCTCATGGACTGAGCCACCGCTGGAATCACTCTAGCGCAGATGCAACAAAACAATGCAAGATATATAGAAGAAAATTTTACATTATGATAGATTAATTCATAGAGTTCATGATGTCAAACAACAATATGGCCCAGCCTCGTTTGCCAATGGCTCCAAATCGCAATCGAGACAGAACCCCAATCACTTCGCGATTAGTCCTCGTGCCTAATTCGATCAATTCTCGACTCCTAGAAATTCTCACTCACATGTTCATGATTTTTTATTATAAATTTAAATAATCTAATTAGTCTTGGACTTTTTCAAAGATTTAGGCCCTATTTAAGTCTCATTATTGAAAAATTCATTTTTAATCATACGTTTTCCCAATAAAATAATTTATATTTAAAATTATTTTTGTTATTTTTTACATTTTAATTACGTATTCTTTAACCAATCGTTATTATAAAAATTATTATTATTTTGTAAAATTTAGAGCTCAAACAAGGACTTAACGAGGATAATACATCTGCCAAAACGATGACGTGCGAAGACCATGTCCTTACCATCCACCTTCCCTCTTCCAACAAATGCCTTAGCCTTAAAAATCGAGACAAGAAGTACACCTAAAACCTAGACGAAATCACTGTGCGTGTTAACACACTCAACCTTTGACCTTAGCATAAAGCAACTGAAGTCCACGCCGACCAAAATCGGGTGGAATAACAGTTTCCTCGAAAGATGAAAATGACGCCATGCATCGTCGGCGTTTGGACGGTGGCGGCTGGTTCAAGAAACCAAATCTTTTTGCATGATAAATCGTGTACTATACGATAGATTCATCACGTGACCTACTTTTGTATGGAGAGTCAGAGACAGACATTAACCCATGAGGAGAACCATTTTCTTGCCGCAGATTCTTCTCTCTCTCACACGGTCACACCTCCATTTGTTTGGTTTCCATTTTCCCGAAAATATTTTTCCCTTATTTTCGACCACACAATATTTAGCCCTTGTGTGGGCACAATTTTCTGATCCAAGTAATTGTTTTCTTGACCGTTTATAGCAATGAGGATCCCACCAATTGTGAGGAAGTCAACATGTGCGGCTGCCAACGGTACAAAAATGGATTAAAATCTTGGGGAAAATTCTTTCCAGACAGCCCCTTAATAAAATAATATTACACGTAAGTTTAAAAACTTTTCTTTATTTTTCAATTATACATTTTTAAAAAAATATTATTTTAAAAATTATAATTTAAAATAATGGGAGCCAAAAGGACGGTGCTTAGATTATTTCAATTTTTTTTAATAATTTCCTTGGCCAAGTATAATGGTATACACACTAATATATATTTTGGACTCTGGTATATGTACAAAATTTTTGTACGGATAGATTAATAGATGTGTTTGTTTTGTTTACTGGAAGCGTCACTGTTGAGCTTAAGTGAAGTTTTGGAAGAGAACGAATAAAACTAAATTGGCGGGGCCATTTCTTTCAATTTTTGCTGTGCTTTCTCAGTTGTACTGTACACACATGTTTATCACAGTCAAACTTGCAGAAACAGAGAACTGATATTTATAGAGTGGAATACAGTTTGTGGGTGGGTTACTAGGTCTAAAAGAAAGGCATGCAGCAGCACTTGATGCAGATGCAGCCCATGATGGCAGCATATTATCCCAGCAACGTCACTACTGATCAAATTCAACAGGTAATTTTTCCTCTTCCTCTTTTCTGCTTATCTGTATGCACATTTTTCTTCTTCGGGGCATTCCGTCATTCACCCTGATTGGCATACCCAAGTCACCTTCACTTTCACTCAAGAAATTGAAAATTTTTAGTTAGTATCCTGTAATTTAAACTTGGTATTATTAAGGTTTTTTTTTTGTGGGTTTTCCATACATTTGCGCTCGCTTTGTTGTGAGGTTTTTAGGTTAATTTATATATGTAGGAAGTTTTGTCTTGTTCTTGAAATGTTCTACTGGTTGTTGCTGAATATGGAGTTGCCTTATTGCCCTTTTGTTTTGATTTGACACTTCATTAACATCTCAGAAGAGGCAATTTCAGTAATCTTGTGTTTGGATTTAAAGTTCTTATTGTTTATTTATTTGCTTCTGTTGGTTAAAAAAAAAAATCTCGTGATTAAGTAATGCTTTACTTTGTGGTGAACTCCATAATTTGGATGGATATTCTCGTAGCTCATAAAAATTAGGGTTAGTTTGATGTCTTCTTTGGTATATATGTTGAAAGATTGTGTCTTCCTGTTGACAGAAAGAAGGAAGGAAGGTTTGTGCCTTTTCTGGTTTTGTGGTGGATAAAGTCATATTTCAAGTAGATTATTTTGATGAAATGTGTGGTTGAAATAAGTGATTGAAATTAGCTATCGACTTTGACTTAGATTAAAATCAATCAATCCCCACCAAACAGGGGTGGCATTTTTATCCTTTCTTTTTTCTTCAATAGAAATTGAGAGATTTTCTTCTGTCTTCTTTGGTTCCTGATTTCATTCATTGCTATCATTCAATAATTGTATTTGTCTTCTGATATAACTATTCTTTATGTTGGATAATCATGGGAATGATTAAAAAAAAAAAAAAAGGTTCTCGCGCAGAAATTTTTGATTTACAACTAACTCTATTTTGTTTTCCCTTGCTGCTGCTGCTTCTTTTTAATCAAACCCCCCCTGCAGGTGGAATATATATATTAATATGAAAATAGTATTAGAATACAAACTTGGGAGGGATATATGACTTGATCTCCACGAAATATAATCCAAGAAGTTTGGGAGCGAGGACTTAATAAAGCGACTGATTTTATTTTCCTGAGACCATTTTCATGCTCCGTGTTATCATACGCCTTGTCATAAACTTCGGATTACGCTAGTTCAGGACCAAAACCTCTATTCTCTGACCTTTTGTGTTTCCCTTGCTTTTTGAACGCTAATTATTAATATGCTCTATGAACTAAGCGACGTGTCAACAAGAGTGTATCAAAGGTGCTGCTGACTGCTTTAAAAAAATATCAAGCAAAGAGTGCTAAGAAAACCCAAGGTCAGATCCCGGTCAAAGGTCTGATAGGTCCCAATTGCACTGTGAGCAATGTTGAGCAAATCAACATTTTGATATGCGTAGAAGCATGAAGCTTTACCCTCAATTGTTCGATACTTGCATACCACACAACCAACGGCAAGTCATCCTTCACCCCATTCAAATCTGATGTACTGCAGTGTATGAGCTCATTTAAGCATGTGGTAACCTGCAAATTATAAGACATTACAGTGTTCGGATTTATCTTGTCAGCTCTGTCTTTATTAATGGAACTGTGATGGCTTAGGGCTCCTTCACTCAACACCTAACCATATCTAGGACCTACTCTACAGAAGATATCCCTTCTCGTCTATAAATACCCATTTAGCCATACTTCTATAATATTTTTGCTTTGATGTACTGATCTCAATGTCAATGTTGTGTCATTAGCAGTGTTGTAAAAGGTTTTCACAGTTGCAATTTCAGAAGCTACAAGGCTATTTAATTTGTCTAAGCATTCGCATAATTGCTGTTTTGGTAGTCAGCATTACAGGCTTTGACAACTGCTTTTTCATACTTCAAAATATAGAACCATAGTTTTTTTCCCCCAGTGGCTTCAATATATAGCCTAAATCCTGTAGTGGTTTCGAATAATGGACCATGTGAATGCAATGCTAAATTTCAGCAACTGTCCCCAGGCTAAATGCTGTTCTTGTATAGTGCTAAATATGTTTTATTGTTTTTATTTTTGGTAATCAATTATGTATTATATGCAGTATCTGGATGAGAACAAGTCACTGATTCTGAAGATTGTCGAAAGCCAAAACTCGGGTAAAGTTGGTGAATGTGCAGAGTGAGTACAGTACCTTTTTTTTTTTTTTTTTGGTTTTTTATTTCTCTTGCCCTCTCGTCTAAACTATAGCAGATGTATTATTATTTGGTAAATTATTCATCTATTCTACCTCTCCTCCAAAATATGACTATGAAAAGAAATACACATCAATGGTTTCAAGATTTCTAGGAAGCCTGGTTCATTGATATGAAATTATTATGAACATTGGATGGCGAGAAAATTTATTCAGTTAGTTCTCTTTACAAACCGAGTAGAATGAACAATTTTAGATAATTGATAGCCTAAAAATCTATTCTAGTTGCTTTAAATTTGTATCATTTTCATATAAACAGTTGCAAAGGTATTATTAAGTTTAGAGAAATCAGTCGGGAGACAACATAATTGGTCACAGTCTGATCAACTAGTCTTGTGCAAATTTAATTTTATGTGCGTTTTTTGTGCGGAAGCGTTTATGAAATTCTCTTGTAATAAGAATTGAAAATAAGAATTATATTGGAATAATTTTGTTTTGTATTGATATATGATTGATTGTGTTGANTAATCAATAAATAAAAGAAATCCTATTTTAAACAAGAAATAAGAATAAAAAGATAAAACATATTAGAACTAGAAAAGGTAAATCACAATTGTAGTAGGAAACTACTAATTATGATTATGTACTACATCAATCCCCTCCACTTGAATAAAAGTGGTCCTCGAGTTTTTCTTGAAGAAAATAATCAATCAATCCGAAGGAAAATACTAAAAAATTTCTGTCAATACTAATATTGAAGAAATTTCAATTTCCTCATGTTCTGCCACCCCATAATTTTTGTTCTTATCCAAGAATAGATCTGCCAGATAAGTTACCTCCCTAGCATAATGAGATATTGTAAAATTGGTGCGTGATAGCTTCGGCTTGATAAATCGATTGTTTTTTGCAAAGGTCTGATCTTCGAGAAATGCAATTATTCCACCAGGTTTCTTCTCAATCAGATCGAGCACATCTTGATTATCAACAAATTCTATGTAGCTCCAGTCTTCTGGTTCCATCTTAAAAACATGCTTGTTAAAATGTTGCTGTTTTTTATTTGTGAAATTGATACGAAACAGCTCCAAGCTGTCGTGCTTAAAACTATGAAACCCGTAGATATCAATAACTCCTATTATTGTCTTTGAGTTTGGATCCTGTTCAATTGAAGACTTATTTTTTTCCACAAGCCAGTCAAACAGGCGAGAATATATAGTTTTAACCAACGTATCACTGTTACTCAAAGCAACCTCTAGATCAAAAGTCCAAGTAATAACGTTCTCTGAAGTCACCATCACGTGCTTAATAAATGCATCTTCCAGGTTCTTGGGATCACACTTGAGCAATTCAGGAGTATTATTAAGATGAAATCCAGATTTTTCATCCTTAATCACAGAAGAATCGATCTTGCTATTAAAAACAATATCATTATAACACATCCCGATGACTCCAAGCAATAGTTCACCATGAACCTTGAACTTAGTAGATGCTACAGCAGTAAGAAGCAACTTCAATACTTAAAGGGTAGTGTTGTTAAGTGATAAATAATCTGCACAACTGCAGACCTTGCTGAGAATATTAGTGAATAGTTGCGCATTTTTAGCACCATCTAGACCGGATCACCCTCAAGGTGATTGTACCCGATGAGCTTATGGAGTCAATATAGTGCAAGCTCAACGACTCTAATGTTCTTGGTCTCTAATGCAATTTGAAGTGGATTCAGAACAAGCTCATCCCGAGCTCCTCCTAAAGTATGCCATGCACTTTCTAAGGCTGTCAGTATAGATCCACTACTGTCTGCAGGTCAGATAGCATATTCCACTTCTTCAGCGGCAGCTAGAGCAACGTTTGATTGATCTAATTTCGTCTCGGATTTTAGCTATAGCATCAGTCGCAGGTAAATTACTTGTGACATCAACTGAGGATGCTGCTTGGTTGGATTCACCATAATTAGATTGCTGACTGACGTTCTTTGCACTGTCTTTAATTCCTTCATGATTGACAAATTTAATTCTCTTCTCTTTTGTTGGACACTTCCAAACTTCAACTTGCTCATCATCGGATTGTTGTGTTTTAAGCTTGTTGAAGCAACCTACATTCATAGCAGTTAAAGTCTGTAAATTCTTGTTAGCTTATTTCTCCATGGGATCGCGATTCCTTTCAAGACTCAACACGGTCACAATCTGCATGGTGTTATGAAGGGTTTCTTGATCCTTTCCATTCGTTGTTCGAGTTTGTTGAGCCTCCGTTCATCCTCGACGGTTCAACAACCACTAGACCATAGTCAGCCATCGGATTGAGGCAATTTCCTTACTTTGATACCAATTTTGGTACGAAAGCATTTATGAATTTTTTGTAATAAGAATTGAAAATAAGAATTGTATTGAAATAATTTTGTTTTGTAATGATATATGATTGATTATGTTGAAAGGTGTACAATGCCTTTATATTTATAGACAATATTATTCTCTAATCCTATTAATAAAATGAAACTAAAATAAGGAAACTAATAAAATCCTAATCTAATTAAAAATCTCATTCTAATCAATATATAAAAGAAATTATATGCTAAACAATAAATAAGAATAAAAACATAAAACCTAATAGAAAAGATAAATCACAACTACTAATCATGATTATGTACTCCAGTTTTGGGGGTGGGGAAGAAAACCTTCCACCCCCGTAAAAATAAAACGACGATAGAAAACCACTTTCTTCATCTACATGGATTTTACATTTTCCACAATGACAAGTTTTGGATTCAATAAATTAATTTTGATCCTAATGTAGGTTGATGCTACATCACTTTTTTGGATGATGTGTTCTATCTAAGAGATGTGCTCATTTTATTTAGTGCGGTGCAAATTGTTAAGATTGGCCACCTTTTTGAAATGAGGTTTATTTGTTGGCTGTCTCCTCACTTGGCAGGAACCAAGCTAGGCTACAGAGAAACTTGATGTACCTTGCTTCTATTGCAGATTCACAACCTCAACCACTTGGCATGCATTTGCAGGTAACCCCGTTCTTGATTGCAAAGAGGCCCTACATCATATGATATGCCAAGGATAAAATGTCTAATGGTTGGACAGTATTGAGTTTAACTATATAGTTCACTTTCGTTGGAGTTATATTGGGCATTCATATTCTGCATCAGGACTGCCTAATATCCTATGATGTGTAAAGGAATTCTTTTTCAGTATAGCATGTACTTCATGTCGGAAGTACACCTTCAAAATAGCTCGTATGTATTGATTCCTCGATACATGGACCAAGCACGAAATCATAGCAGTGTTCGTGCGGGACCCCCCTTGCAGTATCTAACTAGAGTAACATACTCCATACGAAAATTTTCCTGAAGAGATATTTCATAGAAAATGTTCAGTCAGCAAGCGTGAGGAATGCAGATTCGGTGAAATAAAATGGAGAGTGGAAAAAGAAAAGCTCTATCTATGAATAAAGGGGAGGACTGAATGGCAAAAGAAAAGGCAAATCAAAACCTGCTGAAGGTGGTTGACCAATGCCTAATGCCGATGAATGTCCCAAGGGCGACTAAAGATTAATTCTAAAACATCTCATGATTAATCTAGTCGTAAATGTCATGGGATTAAACAGGAAAGAGAAAAATACAGAGTTGAGTCCTTCACAAGCATGCTATAAATTGAGGGTGAACCACTATAAATTTGTTTGTTTGCTTTTTTCAAATTTCGACTTGATTATTAGTGTGTTGGAACTTGTGGTTAGGACTTAATTCATAACAAACTTTTGCATAGATTCTGGATGTTCAGTAAACTGGTAATGCTGCTGGATCCTATAGGCCTGTTTGGGAGAAATTTTAATCAAGATTTTAATCAAAATTCTAGTCGTTAACTATCAAATCAGCCACCATTTTTGACTTTCTCTCTCACAGGTGGGGCCCATATGTTGACTATAACGGCTATAATTTTGATTAAAATCCCACAAAAATTGCTCCCAAACACACTCATATGTCTTTTTATTGTAAATAGCTATTTTTAACAATTCTAATTTCCCCCTTACCTTCTCTATTCATATCAATTTTTATTGTTACTCCTGCAGAGTACCAGTTATGTTGTTATTGCTTGGTGTTCCAAGACAACTGGTACAACCTTGTTTGTGGTCATATTCTCTTTGTCGATGTTTTGCAGTATCCTGCTGGAGGGATTTCACAGCCTGGTGCACATTACATGCAGCACCAACAACCTCAACAGATGACGCCTCAATCAATTATGGCTGCACGAGCCACCATGTACGGCCAACAGCAATATCCAGCACATCAACAAGTCTTGCATAGCCAACTTGGGATTAGCTCGGGAGGAAGCAGTGGGATTACCATGCTACAAGGCGAGCCTCATGGTGCTGGAGGCAGAGTCTTTCCTGATTTTGGACGCAGCAATGCAGTAACCAGTGGAAGTGCTGAACAGCAAGGTGGAAGCACGGGAGGGCACGGAGGTGATGGTCGTCATGGTTAAACGACTTTTCTGCTGACGTTTGAACTTGGGAATTTTGACCGCCAACTGTTTCTTCAGAAACTCAAAATGCATTAACTTATAATTTATTTCAGGAAAGACTAGATTTTTTAGTTCTATGTTTTCGTCTTTTCATTATTGACTCTTTCCTTCGCAATGCTGTTAAGAACATTTTATTTTATTTTACATTTTTAGTTTGAATAAATCAAGAAGTCAAAAGGGTATGGATATGGATCGTAATACTCGAGTTTATTTCAACGATTTAATCTAGTGGTGATATGGTGAAAATAAGAGAATGAGTAACTGCAAGGGTCAATAATATTTATATGCTTGCCGCTAAAAACTCCTCCAGGATTTAACCAACCAATTCTAATACAGAAGCTAAATTGTTTGGACTTTCAAATAATGATAGCCGTGGACCTTAGTTGCGCATGTTCAACTAATTTTGTTCATTAACATCCAAGAACTCGCTAATTGATCAAACAAAGAGCCGTGGAAATGAAAATGCATAACCAGCCCCAAACCATCATAATGTGATAAACAGTAACAATGGTTTATTTATATTACAGTGTTCTTTCCCACAGGGATCAACAAAGTTCAACCTACTACTGTAAACAATCACAGGCGACTAATAGAGTAACAAAAATGAAATTATGGGGCAAAGAAAGAGGAAACCTATCAAAAGCTTTACATGAACAAGAACTTGACTGGAGTCCACCAATGGACGAAAACGAGCAGAGCTAAGTGACTTGTATAAAGGTGTCCCCCTTTGGCTTTAGGACTAAATATCATATGATTCTGTCTCTCTCTTTACAAAGAAATAAAGAAGTCTGCAAGTTTCACTTTGTAGCTGTCAACTTGATTGTATGGTGATGACTATGAGATTATGCTACCTCAGGCAGTTAAAGAGTTACCAAGAGCTGATGCGTATACTTCTCTTTATCTACGATTCACCAGGAAATTGTCTCTATTGATTAGGGATAGGTACCTGGTATGAAAGAAAATTTCAGTCTTGTACATAAACAGAAAAACAGAAGGACAAAATGAAAGATATAGTCCCTATTTTATCTTCGAAAGGATGATCAAGTGGGTATCAAAACTTTCTCAGAAATTTATGCAGCAACAGTTTGTATATTATACCACTTATGCACTTGCCGGTAGTTACACAACCGTCTAGTTGAAAGTACTGGTCTTCTTTTGTTTCTACTTATTGTATGGGTTTCTTCCTTGTACCTTACACTACTAAAATCCAATTTACCCTTCGTACATTTATCAATCTGTAATTATACACAATCAATAAAACAAAAAACTGCAGACGCAATTTGGCACCATAGACACTTGAAACATGAAAACTAGATAGCACTACATCCGAGGGGATGTCAATTCAAATATTTAGTGAGTTACTTATCTAGGATCTCACATCTTTTAATAGTAGAGTAAACAGGACTTTGTGTTCAAATATAGAGTTCAAATGAATGGTTGGAACAAGATTTGGTATAGTTCCCAGAGCAGTAAATATAACTGAGAATGTAAAGAGACGAGAAGACAATGATAACATCTACTTCATACACTATCAAATAATAATAAAATCCAAAAGAATATGATGCTCTTAAAATTAACCATGTTATGTTAAAAACTAAATAGTCCAAAACTTGTAGGGGGGCATTGCAAAATGGAAGCGCCATTCACATGTGACTCAGATTAATGAAACCATGTACCTTTTATCAGTCAACATATCGAGATTTATTTTTAGCCTGAACCCTTCTGATATAAGGGGCAACCAACAAATCCAATTTTACCAACCAAAGTGCGACTGCAGATGATGTTTGTGGCATGGATGGGAAGCTTGCAAATATTTGATCCAGAAGATAATTAGGACTCAAGTCGTCATTTAATTGATAAAACCAGTCCTCATTGATAGCACTGATAAAATCAGCAAGAACCTAAAGCATTTGTAAAAGCAGATGAGAGAGAATATAAATATCAGCCTCTAGATAAGTGAACCAGCAATAATCAAACACAAAATAACAGACATGCAATTTTCATCACCTGCAAAAACTCTGCCAAACTCGAGGTTCGTCGTAACCTATTGACCCAAAGATTATGAGCAGATTTTTTCCAAGGCCACAAAAAGGCATCGTCGGGCAGAACTGTCTGCAAGTAGAAAGAAAATGTTAATCCAAGATAACTGAGAAAACAATCCAAATCATAGAACCAGAAAAATTCAACTAAAACTCTCTTTTCCCAGCGTTGTTTCAACTGTTCCCCTATGGCAACAGCAATTTCTATGCTTCTATAACCTATAATTTTTTAGGCACTGAATCTGCCCTGCAATTATTAAGAAATGTCTAAACAGGATTTATCGCTCCTGAAATGCCAAAGGTAGATTCGTGCCCTAATAGCTACAAGTATTTATGCTTTCATTTTGCTACAACGCTAACACTTTAGTCTTCATCCTCCCACTCAACCATAAAATATTCTTGTCAGCAATTTAAACTACTGGGTTTCTAACCCGATGACAGTCTAAAATAAAAGGCATCAAATGTTATTTCATGTAGTGCCAAGGCAGCTATGTGGTTCATACCACTTTTGCAGTGCCATATGTATCGTGCATTTTTAATTGCTTATAGAAATGCCAAGGTCAAGGTCAAGGTCAAGGTCACCAGGTGATCTTAAACCTGCTACAAATCCATTATTTCCTATTCATTGAAAGGATGCCATAAAAAATGAGATGCATGCCACATTGCAGCAAGGTGAAAACTTCTAACCACGACTTGTGCTTCAACAGTTAAGAGCAACCCATTTAAGAAATGACAGAATTCACGTAGAGGTTGGTTTCCAAAAAAAAAGGCGAGCAAACTAAACTGATGTTTACAGTATGCACAACATAAAAACATCACCAAAAGAAGCATGGTTAGAAAAATTTAATAGACACACACACACTTGAACAAGTTAAAAGACCAGAAAAGAGAAGCATATTTATGCTATATGCGTGTAAGTGACATGCATCAATATTCTATGAAATATTTTAAAGCTTACCTATACAACAACTCACCTCAATTGCATAAATTGCAGCTTTGAGAGCTTGCAACTGGGATGACAGTACCCTTTGTTTATGAACTTTGTTAATATTTGTACTGTCCTGACATATTGCAGAATGAACTGCATATCTCTCTTCTAGATCAAAATCAAGCTCAAATGTGGTATGGCAAACCTTACAGTGCTTCTCATCTCTCCAATAGAGGTCATGACAATGTTCACATCTTCTGAGTGAGTCAATATATGCCCTCTTCCCATTCTTAACAGAGTTGAGTTCTAAATAAAATGACTTCCATATCCACGAGCCAAAAGCTTGGGAACTGCTCCATTGGTCCTTCTGTTCTCCTTTCTTCCCAACTTCAGGAACTATAGCAACAGTAGAAGAGGGAAGATCATTTTGCATTTCGCACAGGCTCAATTGGTTGTCTACATCAGACACCGGAGACGAACTATCTTCTCTAGATGTATTCAGTTCAGATTGATCAAATATAGTGCACTGCCTGATTCTACCAGCATTTGGCATACTGGACATCACTTGGCAAAGAAATGCTTTCTGTTTGTCCAAGGATGCTAGAAGGCGAGCCTCCCGGGCACCGCGATGGTCCAGGGTCGATAACAAAGTGCACAAAGCCTGAAACCAGATTTATCAGAGACAAGCAGAGTTAAAAACCAAATTCCAACATTTAAGTAAGAATTAAGTATGCAAAGAACACAAAACCAGAAAAAAGTTTACCTCTTGAGTATCAATCACCTCCCAATGACCATCTTCAGAAGATTCAAAATAAATCCTCTTGTGGCCGGGATCAAATTCATCACAAGGGCCCAAGAAAATCCAGTATCTATTGTATCTACGATCGGAACCCAGAAAGATAGACTGCATGGGGTGCAAATAGTCCTCTGCTTTCATTTCTTTAGCATCCTTCCTCGTGTTGCCATCTTTTCCCTTGCTACCAATCTTTGATAGAAGAACTAATGAATCGATTGGCTGATCTGATGTACTCACGTCATTGTTACTAACCATTTGTCCACCACCGCCTACTATTAGCCCAGGTTTACATTGTTTCACTGTTGATCGCTTTATTTTTCCACCAGAAGCATAATGATTGATGTTTGGAGAACATTCGACGTTGAGTATAGGTGTCAAGAAATCCTGCAATAAAGAGTGACAGTAACCAAAGGATAATTCATATAACACATCTGCAACTGATAGAACTCAATCATGAATTCCCATCTCTTAATAAGCAAGAGAGATGCTTATGTGATCAAATCTAGAAACCAAATAAACATATCCAACATTTATTACAAAATGACAGTCCGTGCAACCACCCATAAGTCATGGCAACAAACATCAAACAAATTTGTCTAAAGAAAAGGCCCAACTAGGCAAGTTATTTTTTTTCCCCGTAAAGTGGCATAAATATTATATTTTAACTTTATTCTTTCCAGCATCTTAATTATCCAACTAATGACATTTCCAGTTTGCCATTCGAAAGCGGATCTCAAGATGCTTCCTTGTTGAGCAAAATCAAGCAGTCAACGAAGACCAGTTCCATGAAACCTCCAAGACGGTAATCTAGAAACAAAAGCTTTCTTGGGAAAAGTATATTCGTGCAAAATAGATATAACATTTATAGATAGCACTCAAGCACATTTATTTAAGTTTTGACCAGAAAAGTTGACGACTAAATTTGTTGATGTATGTTTCATTCACTACTATTGCAGAACTTCAATTCATCATTTTAATTCCCCTATAAACAAGCCCGAGATGCTCAACATTAAATCAAGAGTAACAAGCCAAGCTCGATGCTCGAACATATATTTAAACTAATAATTTTTTTAAAAATAAACGGGAGCACGGTAACTTATAAAGTTGCTCAAGCACACTTCAAATTCCGCTTGCCAAAAGCTCATTCGAGCTCAGATGCGACGTATGGTATTCTGATAGTGCCTCCTCATACTAGTGATTTAGAAACTTACACAGCAATGTTGGCTAAAAGAAGCTTACATATGTAAAATAGACTTTGCATTCTTGAACAGAGTGAACATGTTGAACTCAAACTCCACCAAAAGAATGATCAAAGTCTTTTAACAGATTACTAAATCTAATTTTAAGCAAACAAGTCCACCTGTTGTTTAGTTGACTCAACCAAGTCAACTAAGATCAGTAACACTACTGTAACTCGATGAAAATTTTCATTCACCTCTAAGTCATCATATCAACTCAGTTATCACAGAATCTAAGAAATTATTTGACCGTTTTGAGCTAAATTATCCAAATTGCTATTTTCACTTCCTTCCAATTTTAACTCATCATTCATTCACCATACTCAAAACAAAAGTAAATGCCTCCAATTCATCATCAAACAATGATCTGGTAAATATGTAGTTCACAAAAAAAAAATTTATACTTATATTAGCTACTACATTGAGCATCAGCCTCAAATCAGTATAAATATTGAGCTATAACACATACATAACCAATATAACCTACATAATGTAAAAATAAATACGATCGGTGGGTAGAATGATAAAGAAGTCATATCATACTACCAAGAAATAGGAGAAGACACAAGTATGACTGAGGGAAAGAAGAAACTGAAAAACAACAAGATGTATTACCTCTGTTCTGAAACTGGATCCAGCACTAAGCAGATCAGTCAATGCAGCTAAAGCATTCAACTTCTCTTCAATGCTTAAATCTGAATATTCACCTTCCATTAAACCTAACAACCACACTTCTCCTGGATGGCTCTCATCAATTTCATTGTACACTGTCAACGTACTATTCTTACTTTTACAATAATCTTGCTTAAGTCTAGTTGGACTAGAATCCATGGACTCAGACTTGGAATCATCCGCATCGTTGGATCCACCACTGACTGCAGAAATCTCATCAACACTCCCAAAGTCTTCACAATCAGAAGGACATACTTCTTCTTCTTTTGTGGTTGTATTGATTCGAAGACGATATCCGGAAGAAGAAATCTTTTCAAATAATGTAATGTCACTTGAGAGAGCCGAGTGTACTAAATTCTCAAGGTCATGGGTTGTATCCACAAGATTCAACTCAACAATCTTCAGAACAAAACAAATATTCGTAAGTAATAGAGAATTACATCGAAATTCGAAACTCGATGGGTTGAACTAACACTAAAATGAATATCATCCTCCAAATACTAAAATGAATATTCTCCTCTCTTAATTCAAGAATATGCAAACTTACAGATGAAGATTTTGCCAATTCTGAGACTTGCATTCCACTGCTTCCTTGGGTCAGCAAAGTACTGAACAGTTCACCCTTCAATGTACCAGAATTTAAGCCATACTTTGCCATAAGATTGACTTCCTACAGAACAAGAAGCAAATAAGCACATGAGAACCATGCAAACCAACCAACCAAGCTGAACTTGACGAGTCAATTGTGTAAAATTGCTTCTCTCAAGCGTTCTTAACAATCATAATCTCATGTAATGATCTACTACCCTTTGTGTAGACACATTAACAAGGCCACATATCCTATGTGCAACAGAATAAACCATTCATATAATCTATGCATGCGTACACAATGACAAGCACCAAAAGCAAATCCCCTGCCACTTGGAGAATGCTACCTGGAGGGCATCATCAGCAGGGAAAGAGAAAAAAAGAGGCCTACTAAACCATATGCTATGAGCTATTATGAAATAAAACTTTGAAGCATGGGGCATAACAAAAAATAAACTAATTCCTAGTAAATTTGGGTTAGCTGCATGAATCCTTATTGTTCATTCCATTCAATCCAGTGTCACATTGAAGTGAAGGCATGACAGACCATTATGAAAAGTTAAAAGGTGAAAGCATGCATATCAAAAACTTGAATACCTTGTTGAGAGCTCCCTTAGGTGCCACTCCGAGTTTAGAACCAAAACCAGCAGCAACCAACACCTGACGTAATATTTCTGTCCATGTCAGGAGGTTCAGTGACTTCTGCCAGAAGCCTAGTACAAAGTCTTGAACTTCAACCTACCAAATGACAAAGAATAGACGGTCAAGAATTCGTTCTCAAATATGAGTGGCACAGAATTTTGCCTCCAGATGCATAGGATAGGAGGATCGGAAGGGGTACAGATACAGAGAGACATTTATCCAAAAACATGAACTATCGTATCAGGCATGTCACGGACTATGCATTAATTCCAAGCCAAGGCCCTGCATAATCACTATCATCAAAGATCTACCCATGGCCCACGATAAAGGTAAAGAGTGCAGCATGCAAAGACTATTAAGTTTACTTGGTTCTAGATAATCTCTCTGTTTCTCTTTGATAAGTAAAACACTTTCTCAAGTGCTCATCCCATTTAAGTACCAGTTGAGCTGCTGATTCTCGTCAATTAATTAAGCCAATCAATTTTAACATGCCGAATGTTAATAATGTTATATCATAAAGATGAGGGTTTCTTCAGTTTAACGAGGAAATCCAATACCTTTATTGCATTCATGGTGTAATTTAAGTAATTATTCAAGCACATATTTTCTCAGATGTGAATAACTCAAAGATACTTCATAGGATCTCCAGTCCTCTATTTTCTATATGTCAGTGCTTCCACACTATAAAGTGGACTTCCACTGCAAAGAAAGCACGAGACAATGGCTTAAAAATTTTACACATACCTAAAACAAAACCATTGGGGGTAAGGCTTAGTTTGTCCCAGAACAAAACAGCATGCTTAGGACAACTTGTTCCCTAAATCCAGTTGAACATGCTCATCATGTATGGTATAAATTTTTGGGATTTAACTTTAGAAATGGCCCTAGCAAGTGGAAGAAGAGGGTTGCCAGCTGTAAATATGTACGAGACAAGGCATTGTATTTTATTTTATTTTTATTTTTTTAATGATGAGTAGACACATGAACTAATCACTGACCTTATTCAACTATACCTGATAGATAATAATGTTCGAATCTCAGATGAGTTTCTCAATCACCAAATTTGCATCTTACAACAAGATTGAGAACAAAGAACACAAATGTAGTTACCATCAAGAAAATCATAGTTCGCTGTAAAAATCATTCCTACACATAATCTAATGAATCTAACCATTATGTCATGAATAGGAATGATAAAGGATAATTCTACTGGGAATTATTTCTTGTTGTAATAGAATTTTATTTTTTGCTTAGAATAGGAATTTTAAGTCTTTTAGGTTTTTTATTACTTTTTCTTTTATATAATAATTACTTATCTTCCTTGAACTATAGACATTGGCTTTGTAACAGTTCTTTACAATTATTCTTTGCAAATTTTCAATTTAATTCAACTTAATCTTGTTTCAAGAATTTCAATTTCCCTTTCACACCAAAATGGATATCAGAGCAAGATTTTACCCTTAGTTGATTGCCACATTTGATGGTAGTGGCATCCTCGCAACGATCGGACGATTGCAAAATTATCACCCTCGGTCTAAAATTTGGAACGAATGACGGATAGGTTCAAAGATGCAGCTGACAAAAAATTAAAGATATTAACTGCTATGAATGTCGGTCACTTCAACGAGTCGACAAAATGGAAACAAGTAGCTAAATTTTTTCCTCGAGTCCAAGCTAAATTTGATACCTTACAACGTGATTTTCTCTCCTCCAACCAAACTCATGGACGATTTTTTTTTAAGTGGGCGAGATTGATGTAAGACAATCCTATCACAAATAGGACTGAGAATTATTTCTTGTTTAGATTAGGGAATTTTTATTATTTTTCCTTTTAGGTTTTAATTACTTATTTTCCTTTAGCTATTATGATTAGGAGATTATTTTACAAACAAAGACTTTGTAATTATTTCAATGACCAATTCATCATAATAAAATTATTATCTTCAACTTTTCGTGTTTGATGAACTGCTTTATGATTTCAAGAATTTCAATTTCGCTTTTGCACCAAGGAAACTTTGTTCTAAATAATCTTTTCAGAACAATTTTGACGAGAGTCGGAATGGTCTCCACGGAATGATATGGGATATACTGAAAAACTATCTAGAATTTTTCAAATGTAGACATCCCATATGCATGTATATAATACCTTGGATTCTTCAAGGGACGTTTAAATTACTAGTCACAACGGCAATTCGCCAAAATGAATCATATCTTCTTGATCTTAGATGTCAATGAATTATTTCAATAAACCGCAAATATGAACCGGTGAAATGGATTATAGAAACTATACAAATTACGAGACCTAACTTCCTTGATTTTTTACTTGATATTCATAGGCTGCACAACAGCTGCCAGCCTATCAAACACATTAAAGGAGAAGTTGAATATTATGCTTAGCAAAAAGCAAACAAAATAGATCAAAAATTCTTTGTCAACCTTCCATCTCCACAACCTTAACAACTATTAATTGTATAATATAGACACAGAAAAATCAGGAGCAAATTATATGAAGACAGAAACATGTGTACTCGTACCTCTAAAAAAAAGGAACAAAATGAAGTGTACAAATGCATACGTCACTATAGATTTATTATGTCTACATATTCTTGTACTTACCGAGTGCAGTAAAGCCAAGAACCTGCGATTTTTGCTTGCATGAGGCAAAAATCCTCTGCTTAGGTCCTGCTCAATGTCAGATACAAGAAGTTTGAGAAGGGCCACATGTACTTGCCCAAGCAACAGGGAGTCCTGAATACCAAAACAAGAAGAAAAGGGAATCAAAAGTAGTAAAAAATCGGCAAACCTGAATAATCCATATAAGATATCTAGTGTAGAAAAGCATTGCATTAATATGTGAGCATACCTTATCATGAAATGCTTGCGCAAACTCATCTAAGGTGAATGAACATACATCAATTTTTATAGCATAAGTACAAAGAAAATGGAATACCTGCATAACAAATAAGTGATACTTAGCAAAGAATGGCACAAAGTCGTAATTTAGGACAGAAAATAATAAGGAGCCACAATATATAGCACAAGTACAAAGAAAATGGAAGAACTGCATAAAAAATAAGTGATACTTATCAAAGAATGGCACAAAGTCATATTTTAGGACAGTTAATAATAAGGAACCAATTATGTCTAGTCTAATCTAATATTACTGCCTCTTAAGTGTCATGTTTATGCTGCAAAGGCATTTTCTTTCACTTCAAAATAAAAAGGATTTTGGATAGGCTGGCTCTACCCAAACTTTTCTTGTTCCCCCCGACATTTCCCACTTGTCCGACTATTGCTGTGCAGTTTGGATATCAAATGCAACTCCTAGACCTTATTATTACAATAAAGCAATAATGTAAATATACACAAACAACACGAACAACAAACCAAGCCATATTCCTTGGGATCGACTACATAAATCATTTTTCACCACTCCGTCCAGTTGGTACAAAGCAACTAAATCTTAGCAACCACAACAACCATGATGGTATTGGTCTACTTTCCCACTTCAAATACATTCTACTAACATCATGCCACTCTGATCAACTAGTCACTCTTCTTTAGGTCTACTCAAGCCATGTTGCAACCATAATAAAAATCATTCCCTTTATTTAATCTCGCACAGTGTACCACTACTTGTTGACAATTATTTTCATTTCTTATCTTATCAATTCTAGCATTACTACATAACCATCTAAGCATCCTCGTTTCCACTACTTTCATCTTTTGAATTTCTTGTCCTTTAATATCCCAACACTCGGTACAACATACCTTGCAGATCTAATCATTGTTCTATAGAACTATCATTTCAAACTTGTAGGGATTTTCACGTGTGAAAGAATTCCTATAACAATCTCCATTTTGTCTAATTCATATTAATCCTGTGTATCACATCCTCTTCAACCACTCGTTCATTGTTTATAATCGAACCTAAATACTTAAAACGATCACTTAATGAGACAAGATCATCTATAGTGATCCATTATACCATTATTTCTACTATTACTAAAGTGTCATTCTACGCACCATGTCTAGGTCCTACATAACCTAAACCCATTAGATTTCAATGTACTCCTCCAAAATTTGAACTTACGATTTAACTCTAACTCTTATGATATAAACTATGCCATTGGTAACATACACCAAGGATCCTGATCTTGAATATGTCTAATAAGTTATCCATGACTAAAGCGAATATATCATGCATATATATGACTAGGTTGTGCTATATACAGCTCGTGAACAAATACCTTTTTATTTCATACAATCTTGAAACTTATAAATAGGCACCATAACATTCTTCCTTCATCCATCCAGCATTCTTTTTACTCCTTAACAAGAAAAGAGCATGCATATATATGACTAGGTTTTGCTAGATACGTATGAAATAGAAAGCTCATTAATATATATGTAGCGTGAAAAGCTTTCTCACAATTTACAACATACTGAAATTTTTAAGAGCAAGATATTTGATTATAGCAATGAGCAAATTTGAAACCATTGTCTGCCATCAATAGTCAACTGTTGACTATAATGTGGAACAGACCCATCACTTTAAGCACTTCCAGGACCAGAATAGAACAGAATGTTTCTATACCTTGAAAAGTTTCTTGACAAGCTCCGGAGAGGAATCCCATGGTTGCACATAGAAGGGAGGCCTCATTGTGACAGTATTTGGAGGGAACTTGGCTAGCAAATCTATAAAATTGCACAACATTATTAGAAGGACAATGCGAAGTACTACCAAGTGCTCTCTAGCTATTTTCTACAAATCTGTTTTAAGTTTTGTCTAGTTTCAGGGAAATAATTTATCCAGCTTTCATTGAGAATAATAGAACAAAATAATAAAGAGGAAGAAAACAAAGTAATTAACAAAACAATACTGGGGAAGAAAACAAAGTAACTAACCTTTGCAAAGCGAACAACCATGTGATCCATTGGTTGTAAAGTGCGCAGAGCAAGTTAATGGATTTGGTCCTGCTTGTAATTCTCTTAGCTCCAGTTCCTCATCATCTATTAGCATTGCAAAGTGTTCTGAATTTTCCAGACATCTCTCTCTGTCCAGAGCAAGTTCACATTTTTCTTTACGATTTCGCTTTTCAACTTTCTGGTACTCCACCTAAAATTACAGCATGCCGAATCCAGATACTAACTTAAGTAAAGAATCCAGATATCCTTCTTCTGACAAGTAGAATAGCTAGAACTCATTTTACCTTTCTACTTGGGGGAATCTTCCTCTTAGCTTGTTCTTTGTTTGATAACTTTCTCTGCTCGTAGAAGACTAACCATTAGTGTCTTTTCCGGCAATCCCATAAAAATAAAGATTTGCAACATCAAATGTTCAATTGACTTCATAAACCAAAGAAAAAGACATATATTTGTGATAAGTGAACTTCAAAAAGGTTAATTAGTTAGCTAACCAGAATATTTTGCCGTTGCTGATAACTATTTTTCTTCTGTTGGATGAGGCTCTCACTGGAAATACCATAAGAAGGAAAATCTCTAGCCTCAGTATTTGTCATCTGCCAAACTCTCATCAAACCTTTTCCAATGCCATGTTTCTTCACAGGAGCACCCTTTTGAGATATTAGATCTTTACTCCTACCATTTTTCTTTGCTGGAGCACCCGTATCAGTCATCAAGCCTTTACCCATGCCATGCTGCAGTGTTGGAGCACTATTCTCACAACAACCCTGGTAATCCAAGGTGGTATGCAAGGAAACATACAAAATACAATAGAAATGTAAAAAATGATAAAAGCCCAGCATAATTTAAGCAATACCCATCTCATGTGCCTAAAATTTTCAATCAATTTATCCTTCTTACCTTTCTTCTTTTATAGACTTGTAAATTCTCTTCAGAAGTATGACGACACTTTGTAGGACCTGGCCATAAAAGAGCAAAGCACCAGAAATTTTGTAGGTACATGTACATACAAATTTATAAATAAAAATAAAAAATAAACAGGTGCACATACATGCGTGCATATGATTACACAAACACAGAAGAATATGGATGGGCGTATAAGAACTGGTGGGTTGGGGGATTGAGGTGAGAGTAAGTGGCAGTAAGCCAAATGCGTTCAGGTAAGTAAAAGAAAAAAGAGTAAGCAGAAGAACTAAAACGTAGATAGCACAGACGGAGTTTGGACCTTATGAGTTGAGTTTAAGTCAGAGCCTCCCAATCCAACTTTCTTTCTCTTGATACACAGGTGATTTTGGCACAAAAAGGAGGAACTATTTTAAGCCCCTGTTTGACACCCATTCTCTTTCTCATTTTTTTTCTTTCTTCATTTCAACCACACATTCTATCAATAAAATAATATTACACATAAATCCAAAAATTGTTATTACTTTTTAACCACACATTCTTCCTATCAATCACTATTCCAGAATTTATTTTTTCTCCAAAATGGGTGTCAAACAGGGGCTAAATGTATCAGTTGTACTAGTATTTAATTTCTTTACCAAAACCATATGCAAGACGTATGTAATCATAATCCAAAAATTGTTATTACTTTTTAACCACACATTCTTCCTATCAATCAATATTAAAGAATATATTCTTCTCCAGAATGGGTGTCAAACACAACCTAAATGTTTGTCATACAGGAAATAATTGTCTCAGAATTTAAGAAAACCGATATTTAGCAGAGTGCTGGGTGAAGATACAGGAAATACCAGCTCTGCTAACCTACCTTCAAATATTCCCCCTCACATGGTTACACTATCTAACCCCACCCCCCCAGTCTTGACCAGGAAAAGAAAATAATGAAGCTAAAGAAGTTAAGTGATTATGAAAACTGATTATGAAAAATCAATTTGTATTAAATATACAGATGTTGTCTGAGCTATTAAATATTTTCACCAGGAATTTAAGCCAAACTGGTGGATCACGTGCCTGCAGATTTCGCTAACCAGTCAAAGATTAGGCACTAACAATCAACGTTAGGCATCTACTTCTGCAACCCACTCATAAGCCCAGGAAATTAAAATAAAAATAGAAAGCAGTTTGCAATTTTTCATTTTTACAGTTTCTCAACTGAATTTCCTGGACATGATAAGGTGCGCAAGATAGTTAAAATTCATACAACTACAACCCGCCACGACTACCCTAATAACTTAAACAAGACCAAATATCTCCAGCAGCCTAAGGATAAATGCTGTTGGCAACACCAAATAGTTATTCTTTTTATTACATGTTTATAAATATATTACCCTACCCCTATTTTCTTCTTTCCAGTTGAAGTAGTACCACCGTCTGAAGGTTTTGAAACCCAAAAGGATTCGTCTCCAAGTTAATTGGGTTATTTTCTACAATTGGTACACTCGTCATTTAACACCCTCACTAAATAAACGCATATAAAAACACTACAAGAATCATCATAGAGAACAATTAATGCAAAGAACACGCATAAACACATCCAATAGAAATGCAACCAATACAATTCAACTACATAACTCAACGTCACTTTTAGAACCAATATTAGACAGGCATCAATACAGTACCTTTCTTCTTACAGAGAAAAGCATTTGATGGAAGGGAATCGAATTCATTCCCAAGGGGCGGGCCGTCCTTTCGGAAAATTTTAGTGAGAATGTGCTCTGGAGAGTACAAAACCTCCTGAAGCCGTAGCCTGTAATCATCTTCATTCATGAAAAGCTGGTGCTGAAGCTTTCTTTTTCTTTTCTTATCCATACTCTTACTCTTGCAACTGTAATTTCCATTACAATTCATCCCAGTTCCACACGCCTGATTGCTCTTTCTAGAATTCTGTCGATTGCTATTCGACTTTATATTGGCCATAATTAATTATCCAAATTATATTGATCAATAATCCATGCGAGGCAGAGGCAGAGGCAGAGGCAGAGGAGGTGCGTGGGGGAAGAAGATAAAAGAGTTCACTCTCTCTCTCTCTCTCGAACCGTGGGGATTGCGAAATGGAGGTCCGAGTTTTAAGTAGGGTTTTGGGTTTTGTGGGCTGATATTTCTTCTTCTTTTTTTTTTTTTAAGTAATTTTTTGCTGTTTCTAGAAAAATATCTTCCAGTAAGTGGACCGACAGTTCTCAAACCGGGTCGAAGTCAAGGAAAGAGTTGAATCTGAACCGGCGCCAAGAGATATATATATAATTATTTATTTATTTTAAGAAAATTGCAATTTTAGCCTCGATCCCTGCTCTATTTTTTTTTCTTTTTTAATCTTCCTTTTCTCTTGTTTATTTTTTATGTTTGATTTACTTTTAAATTTTTTAAATTTGTTATATTTGTAAACAGTATTATTATGATTTTCCAAAAAAAAAAGGGTAATTGGCGCAAAACGTCCCTACCTATAACGGGTTGTGTGGAAAACGTCCCTACATATGATTTTTTGGTGCAGAACGTCCTCACCTTTACATTTTTTTGCGCGAAACGTCATTTTCCCTAATTTTTAACATAAGATGACCATTATACCCTCATATATAAATAAAATAGAAAAGAGAAAAAAAGAAAAATAAAGAATTAATTACAATCATAGTCCTAAACTTT